ATAGCAGCCTTAACTGCTGAAGGACTTTCAGGCTGGCTATGCAAAAGAAGCAACAGAAACACTTCCTAAGGAAACTAGCTTGCATTTGAAATTAAATGCTTTCTCCATCCAGAAAAGCAAATGTCAAAACAAACGGTGATACTCTGCACACTGAAATAAGAACATGAAGAGATTCACCCAGACCAAATTAGAGCAGTGGTTTTCTGACTCCATGTGTAAGTACAACCTAGAGCAAGAACACCCTGATCCCACCCTGCTTACAGTAGTAACCAACTACTGTAGTACAAATAAATCATCTGTTAACAAATATTTGCATCTTTAATGCAAACTAAGTAACAGAATTGATTTTAGAAAATATTTTTGGATTTTATCTATCATAAAAGCAACGCTGATCCTTGTTGCACAAAGCTCATTGCATTTATATGTAGTACCTATGTTACATGCATCAGACATAGTAATACAGTAATCGCAAAAAATTAGAAATGACAGGCAGAAGAAAAAGCAAACTGAAAAAAAAAAAAAGAGCAAGGAAAGGAATGAGTAAAAGTGACAAGGAAAAAAAAAATTTAGGGGAACTCACGCCCCTAAATCTCTTCTGTTTGAGAGAAAACGATCCAGCAAATAGTGGGTGCCTAGACACACACTATCAGCAATACATCAACTTTGGGGCTGATCAGTGTCATGTCTCAGTCTTATAGAAGATGGTGTAACTTGGTCCAGATCCAGCAAAGCACTTGGACTAATGTTCAATTTTCAGCTTGCGAGCACTTCCACTGAAGACAAGCTTCTTGTGACTTTAAGAGGTGAGCATTGGCTTAAAGTCTTTGTTAAATAAGTACCAAAGAGTGTTATTGCTAAGTTCAAATTCCTAAAGATTCTGATTCAGGTCTCAAAAATGTTTTTAAACATCAGTTTAAAGTCCTTGCCCTCAATTAAGAAAGAATTAGTTTGGCTCTGCTTTCCTAAAGTTATGAAATGATCAGCAAAATCCTTTCTCAAATCACTTAGTTCACATTTTCAGTTATTTTTTCACAGTCAAGAGGACTTGAAACTTTTCAAAAAGTGAACACAGTGATTCCTTTGTAGCCAGTCTTGTCCCCAGGAGTTTGCATTAAAAATAATAATAGTAATTAAAAAATTGATCCTAAGACTCACAAAAGCATGAGAATTGTTGAATTTGAATGGACTCTGCACCTTGCTCATTTGAACCTTCAGGACAGCTGTCTCATTTCCATTCTCCCACGACAACTTTACTGACCCAAATGGACCAGCATTATTGTCTGGTTCTGGGGGACTCTTCTGCAATAGGACAAGAGCAATTTGAGAACTACATGCAATTTAAGTACTACAGCAAAGAAATGTTAACTCTATATGCATGAAGGAAATCTGCTTTCCTTTTCCTATATCCTTCATACTTACTTTTATACTCACATTCTGCATTTCATCTCACTTAAATTATAATAACCTCTCTCTGTTACAGGCAGTTGCTTAAGTAGCCCCGGAAGCACACCAGTCTTCTGCTGGCTACAATGCATAGAGCTGAATGGGAGGAAATGAACTTCAGCTCGTGAAACAGCTTCTGCTATAAACTTATGGGAACCAGTTCCTGAGATTCCCCTATCTGATTTAGAAGTCCTTTCATAAAGATACCTATCTAACATTTTTCAACAGATCTTTTCATTCATCCCTGAATTGAGAATAAAAGCAATCTGATAAAAAATACATCGCCTACACGCCAGAGGTAGTAATTCTTTGGCCTTGAAATATAGTTCTTTTACTGGAAGCATTACAAAGACGAGGACCATGTATCACCACCAAAAAAAAAGAGACAGTTTTTAATAGGCACTCTTCAGAATGGGGTCCATGTTTTATCCTCAATTATCAGTTCATAAATTTAGAATTTCTTAGCTGCCAGCAGACGGGCAAAGGTCACCAAACAAGGACCTCATAAAATTAGTGCGATTTAGAAAATTAACAACGATCTAAACTGATGTCTTTCCACAGGAAACTGGATTTTCCAGGAATCCCTTTAGCAAAGGGCAAGTAGAAAACTAAAACCCAGAAACAGCCAAAAAAGAAATTCCCTTTCAGCTGCCACGACAGATTATCTGCAAATAAACTTGGATATATTTTCCTTATGGATTAAATTAAATAGTTGATAACGATATCCTGCACTTACATATAGCTTTTCAAAGTTTCAAGTATTCAAAAGTAACACAAGCTTTAGGAGGGCTGGGGAGGGACCATGAATTTACAACTAAAGTAGCTCAACCACATTCCCCATGAAAGGAATCGGAACTCCTTCAGGAAAAGCCAATATACTCACTGACCTAGCAAGCCTTGCTCTCCCATAGAAAATTGTAATGCACAAGTACCTTGACTCCTCACTGCCAAAACATCCTTCCTTTGATCCTTATCAAACAGCAAATGGCAACGCACACCTCAGCATCCTCACAACTTAAGTTCCTATGTGAGTGTGACAGAAGCAAATGTTTCAAAAAAAAAAATCAGTATCAGGATCATAGATCCTTATTTTGACATCTTCCTATACACAGTTTACTATTGAGAGAATTCTTCCCCCATTTTCAAACTGAAAAAGATGTTTTAATTCCATTTAATCCTAAAATAATTAGGGAATTCTACTCAGCAAGACAGAATGAAACAAAAATAAAGTGACAAAAAGCAAGTTTTCCATCTTATTACCCACGAATGCATACACACTGAGAGTCTTTTGTTCATAAGGATTCACCAAGTACATTTCATGTAATATAACATGAAAAGAATGCTTTTAACATCCTGAGTATATATATGAAACACCCTCTACCTTTTGCCTGCTTTTCTGTCCTTACTTTCTTTTCAGTAAACAAACCAATCTTCCAGTCTGTCCTTACAAGACATTTCCTGTTATCTGCTGCTCATTTTCAAATTACAACCACAATGATTCTGACCTTATGGCTGAGAAAGTATGTAGGAATTACTTTTAGTGAGAAGGAAGAACACTTTTTCTATCATTCTCAAAAACCTCAGTTGCAAGGGTTTGGTCAAATACAACAAAATAATCACTTTTTGGACAGAATTGAAACATCACCAAGCTTAATTCAGAAATAAGATTTCTAAACATTTTTTTTAGTAAATGGCAACAGCCTGTTAGAATGGAAGCAGCTATGTTACATTAGCTATAGCAGACATCACTACTGCTGGAGAGCTATGTTGCTTTAATGGTCATTAAACTGACATGATACAGACATCCAAAAATAAAGCTCAAGTACCCAGGCTGTGCTTGCATGGGCTGTGCCCTTAAGTGATCTGTGTTTATCAATGACAGACTGTCAAAGATGGGAATTAATAAAGGAAGGCTACTGCTGTACTATACTGACTGAGTTCTGGTCTGGGAGAGCTAACAGAGTTTTCTTCTTCCTTCACCTATTCCCCACCAATCGCATTTAACTGGCACACAGAAAGCACATTTATTTCAAGGAGGAGCAAGTAGCTTCTCCTGGGGTTTGTATGCCTGGAAAGCATCACAATATTAGACTTGATATCCAAGCCAAAACATATTTATGTTACAGTTGATCAAATCAAAACTCTACTTGAGACCAAAGGACCAATCAAGGACCACAAGGATGCCAGGTCACAGAAAATGGTTTGCCAAAACTTTTCATGACAGAAGTTAGAGTCTCAAAATACAAAGGGATGTGCAAAATCCTACTAAAGCTGTAATAAGCTAAACAGTTCAGTTTTCCTGAACTGCATCCTGTGTTCCAATACCGACAGAACTGGTCAAAACATTTTCCATTGACACATTTTGAATATGGATTTTTGACCATTTCTTTTTTTCTTTTTAATATAATAATATGTGTTTTGATATTGTCAAAAATATAACTTTTTTCACTCACTACTTCCTCCTCCATTGCAATAATGGAGACATTTAATGCTTAGGACAGTGGTTGGTTGCCATTAAAATAATAAAGAATATAGATAAATATATATTATAAAATAATATAGAATATAATATTAAAATAATATAGCAATATAGAATCACCAGTTTTCCACGTTATGAACTAGAAGATGGAAAAAAAGATTAGACTGCAAATACTTCATCTCATCACCCAAACAAGGGAAAATAAGATCAAAGTGTGACAACTGAAGTTCATTAGCTACTTTAGTGACAATGCATGTGACTGAGAACTTATTGGCGTTTCCCATCAGGGAACATGTTCTCTTTAACAAGAATTAGCAAGATCACTGTTTTTTTCCCCACAAATTTAGCAGACAGCCATACAAAGTCAGAGAACAGCCCTGTTTAACATAAAGATGGCCTTTTACACAGCCCTTTACTGATATGAACCATACTTTTCCATTATGCATTAATTACCAAGAGTAATACAGATAACAGCACAGGAGAGAAAAGACAGCTCTGCCTCCTAATTGTGACGATTTTCACTTCTACCTTCCCAATCTGCCAACTCCCCAGTTCTCTGGGAGAAAATGTGTGGTGCTTTCACAGAGCTCAGCAAACCAGGGACATGCAGTCTTCATAGCAGCTCTCATAAACTCAACTTCATTGACTTCAATAAAGCCAAAGCGATTTTGATCAACTGAGGAACTGGTCTGACCTGTATAGAACAGGCTACTGTACAGAATAAAAGCCCAAAGGCTGAAACGCTCTGAAATCCAAGTGCCTAGACATAGATAAGAGGCAAATTTCTAGCTCCTTTCAAACTTGCACCAAATTTCCATGGACTTCAACATGGCAGGAACTTCTCTGCTGGTGGACCGGGACTAATTCATTGGCATCATTGCAGCAACAGTGATTTATTCCAGCTCAGGTCCTGTCCTTAAACTTACGCGATTGCAGAGCATATATTCATGATCTAATCCATTATCACAGCATGGGGAAATGGAAGAAATGAAAGCAGCACAAATGAAGATTTTATCACTTAAATAAAATTGAGGGCTGTTATTCTTTATGTTTATTTCAGTTATCATTCATTTCTTACCTCACAGACACAAGCAAGCTATTGTTTAACTTCAGTTCTCTCAGATTAGGTAGATAGGCACCTATGGAAACAGAATAAAGAATCACTTTGCAGACCTGGGAGTAGAGTAAAGGAAACTTCTGACAATTGAAGCATCTAATTTTACATGCATTTCTTCCCTGTTTCCTCCAGATCTGTGCTGGACCACTTCTAAGAAAACTAATGAGATTATTTCACTCAAAAAATATTTCACCCTTTGCATTTTTGCAGCAAATACGTATTGTCTACATGACTACCCAATTATAATTTTTGGAACGCCTCTCTGACAATTCTGATAGAGCACCTTTCCAGACAGACCACAACAGAAACTGGCTTGATGGGTGACTGTTTTCTTTGGTCTAATTCCCAACCCGTATTGACTCTTAACTGAGTGATACTCTGAAGAGGTAAAGGATGCTTTAGAGTATAGCATTCCATGACCTCTGATTTCTACAAAATGCTCTTGCTTCTCCCCCAGAATTCTTTTTCTACCTATTTAATGGCAAGTAGTGATGGACTTATTGGATACACAGCTAAGTAATATTTCTTCAAAATTTAATATCAAGTCAAACACCAAAAGCATAATTTCCTATGTCACATCATCTTTTATAGTTCAGAGGACCCCAAAACACTACTTATGTTTTGCTAAGCATTGCCTTCTTTTAATTTCTTGATGTGATGCATTGTTTACTATTCAATTGTACAAGTTTCATATCTATGAAAACCATTCCATTGTTATTACTTTGATTAATGCTTTTTTCTATTCCCAAGAGACAATTGCCTTTTTGGTTGCTTCTAAAGGTATTTCTGAAGCAAAATCATAGACCAAATCTCTCCAAGCTGCAGAATGATTTAGATATAAACTCAAGTCCCAGGAAACATTTGCTATTAACAAAAGCAAACTTTTACCCATTCCTACTAGCACAGTTTACCAATGGCTGGCAAGCATCCTCCAGTATAATGTGCAACGATATAGAGGTAACACCAATTTTAGACAAACTGGATCTTTGCTAAAAGATTAAAATCTGTTCTCAGCAGATATTTTTATGAATCCTCTGGGTAATCTCTCTCTGGCAAGGGTGATTTAGCAGTGTCCAGAAGGACATCATTCCAGCTCTTTGCAAAAGATTAAAAAAAAAAAAAAAGAGAAAAAAGAAATAAAAAAAAAAAAAAGAAAAAGGGAGTGGGATCTCAAAGGCAAACAAAGGAGATCATGTTGTTCATCGCATTTCCCCAAACAGAGCAAGAGTTTTTACGTCAAAAACATTTTAATAAATCATGTTTTAGTAGAAGCATTATCTATATCTAATGTTACTTGGGAGTGATTATAATCTGCATATTGATCTTCATGCTATAGTGCAAATATTTAACTTCATGTCTTCGCAAAGCTCTTTAGAAAATATTAAAAATTCAAAATACACTGTGCAATTTCTTAGCCTTATTTTTTCATCATTTTCCATAATCCATAAAAACTGTAGTACAAATTATAACAAACCCTCCTCATCCTGCAGTGCATATTTTCTCACGTCAAACATGGTTTACAAAGTATGGCAACAAAATAATTTGGAATCCTGCCAGAGGAGATATTAGGATCTCTGTTAATTATTCACAGCAGTCATACTAGCTACTGAGCAAAGGCTTCCTCAGATATAATCCATGCACTAAGAAAACCCCCACAGAAAAAAATCAAAATCTAGATTAAAAAAAAATATTATCACGTTTCTGATAAGAAACCTGAAGCACAGAGATGAAATTTCCTCCCGCAAAGTCTTAAGGGAAAGAATAGGAAGGATGCAGTAGCCTCTCCAGTTCCAGCACAGCAGCAGGTAATAGCCTTGCCATGGATTCAACCAGAGAGGTTAAAGGGTTACCAAGCAAAGGCTATTGCAAAGCATTACAAAGCAAATGGGTTTTAAAAACTAGTATTAAGCAGAAGATTTGAATGAGAAGTCAAGAGGACTAGCTCAAGAGAAATGGAGACACTTGCTCAAGAAAGAGCTTTCCACTGATGCATTTAGGGTTGGTTCAGGAAAAAAACAACTATTAAAGGATTCAAAGAGGCAGAGTGACAGGCTGATGATACAATTTTCACATCTGGCTATTTCATTATTGTAACCCAATCCTCCATCTCAGATATTTTATTGTATTTTGGCACAATCTATCCCTGGGAACTTGTAGAGTGTTAAGCTGCAATGTGCTATTTACTAGACTGAAGTAAAAGTATACTATGTGCAGTGGTGCAAAATTCTGCCAACAAGACTTTTGCAATATATTTCTCCAATTCTGCAGGTTCTTCCCTCCTTTAAGTTTTATATTAGGTATGTAATTGTTCTTTGTTGCTATGAATTAATTGTCCATTTGATTTTTCTGGGATTTACAGTCCCAGTTCCTTATATATAGATTAGATACTGGAAGATTAAGTTAAGAAGAGAAAATTGTAAAATGAAGATGACAAAATAGGAGATCTATCCAAATGTAACAACGTACTTGTAATTGTCTTAATTTTAACCCTCATGGCATTTTTCCTGAGAGCAAGGATGCAATTTATTCTTATATTAACATAAAAATACTCTAAGATATCAACAATATTAACTTCTAATATTAATGTCAAAAGTACAAACATTATATATCTCATCCTGAAACTGCCTTCATACTGTATAATTTCGATTTTTAAAAATGAGGGTGGTCCAGAAAAATGCTGATGACTGCAGTACAAGGCTGAGAATTCAGAATGGTGAGCAATATTATCTCATCTGTCTACAATTCCCTTTCACTAAATACCCTTTTTGTTATGTGGCTCTGAAATTACTAACCACCAACAATGTACTAGTGTTAAACTATTCTACTGTACTATCCCAGTGGAACAAAACTAAATGAAGAGCAGAAAGAAATCAAAGTCTAAGGTAGGTGAATAAAAGTGATACACGCACACTCAACGATATTGCCTTAAGTGCTGCAATTCACAAGCAGGGTAGCAATGTAGATGTCTTTCTGAGCTTCCTTGGCACAGCACGTGACGTTTAGATAATTGACTAGGAGTAAGGAGAAAACAGGCAAGATGCTGGTTTTATTATATTCTACAAGCTACAACACATATTTATAACACTTGATAACATATTCTTTAGGTAGCATCTCGTTTTTCTGTTGTTAACAAAAAATAATCGTGGCTTGACTTCTTGAAGCCTTCTGGAAGATAGACTAGTGAAAAACATACACACAAAAAATTATTGACAAATACTTGTGTTGGCATCAGTCAACCTACGTGTTTTGGTGATCCTACAGTACAAAACAGGCATTTGAACACAGGTTGCACCCTTCTAGCAAGAGCAACCTGATACATAAATTAAACAGGCTATTTAATTCACTTAAGCTGTATTTGATCAAGTAAGATATATCACCTTGATGTTATTTCCACACATGTTCTAAATGTGCATTTTTTGCACATTTCTGGTGTGAATTGGGCAATGCAATTGAACATAAGACCACAGCACTTGCAGGCAAACCCAAGCTAGCTGCAGTCTTAGCTACCTGAGATGAGAACCTCACAAAAAACCACATCAGTGCAGGGTTTAACATAAGCTTGCTGCCCCCGTACATACTTGTGACTCCTGGACAGCCTGCCCAAGTCTTGCTGTTGTGGGTGCTGTGGCACCTTCTCAGTGAGACCTGTCAGTACCAGCTAAACAAAGAGCAGCTGTGGGCAGGCACGCAAATGCTGGACTCATGCCTCCAGCCTTCGCACTGGTTTCCTGACCGCACAAGCACCTGTCACTGCAACGCTGGCTACCGACAAACATCTCCCAGCTTTGCATCAGGAATACTGACAAACAGAGCAAGAGGAAAGAGAGATGATGACCCCGTGTGAAAAATAATGCATGCCTACTTCTGAACCTTTAGCCGAGCTTATCCTCAATGACACACGTGCAAGAGAAGCAGCAGTCTCCAGACATGTAATCAACTTAGCCTGGCCACCAGCAGCCAACAATTTAATAAGTATCAGCGAACAGCACTCTGGGTAACTTGATTTGTAGCTATTAAAATCGCTTAGAAATAAGAGAACTATGTAGTGTCTTAAATGACTCTATCCCACCATTACTTTCAACAGGAATTTCTACCGGCCGGTCATGAATGCAGTCCCAGATCTGTCAACAATCAAAACCGAAGGGATAAGCTAATGAAAAGGAAATAGTCCATCTGTTTGAGTATGAACTGAAGCCTACATGCAGCTGAAGAGAACAGAAGTCAAGCCCAAGATCTGCAAAACTGTTTACAAAACTTGCCAGGGTGGTTCAGTGTTTCACCTGTCATTCAGGAAGGTGCACTGAAAACAAACAGCTAGAGATTTCAACAATTACCCTGAGCCCTGCTAAGACTCAGATTCAAGCTCTGGCATGAAGCCTTTCCTTAATTTTAAAACTGATCACATGAAAATATTTTAATATTGGCCTTTTTGTGTTTTAGCCCACACCCTGTCCCTAAGAAATGTAATTGTTCCTCCCCACCATGTCACACCACTGTGTAGAGGCTGACCTGACAAACTGGGAAAGATCAGCAGGATGGCACTTTAATGTACAGCACATCCCAAAGTGGAACACTCACAAGAAAAACTCAAGCAACATGTTTTAAATCACTCTGGAAATCTTGCTAAAGGAGATGCAGATCCTCAGTGCTTGTGTTACAGCCTGCGTATGGCTGTGGACATTGAAACATTTCTCAAGAGGAAAATGTGGTGTAGATTTGGGATTCAAGTGCTGCAAGATTCCAGGTGACCCAGAGTTAGTAACTTGCAACTCTTTTACCTGGCCATTTATGAACTTGCACAGCCTAGTTTATCTTTACACATAAAATCAGTTAAAACAATATTGTTTACGGAGTGCAAACTGATCATTCAAACAAATAATTCCTTGATGATAAAGATACTCTTACCACCTTCTGCAACTCAGGAATGGAGGGAGAGCAAGGTTAAGTGATATAATATGGCTATGAAGAAAGCTAATTAGCCAGGTTTGGAATGTAAACAGAAACACCAAATTGCAGAACAGTACAGACTGCAGGGGACAGCCGGAGGTCTCGAGCGCAGCCTTCTGCTTAGAGTCAGGTTTTCTGTGAGATCAGACCAGAGCACTCAGGGCTTCACCCAGCTGGGTCTTGAAAACCTCCAAGGATGGAGACTCCAAACCTCCCTGGATACCCCTGTTGCTCAACTGTCCTAATGGTGGAAAAGCTTTGTCTCCTGTCACACTGGAACTTCCATTATTCCAGCCGGTCTGGTTCTTATCTTACTCCTTCCTTCAGGCTATTTATCCAGACCCCTCTGACCACAGAGCAGGTCAGCAGTGCACAGTTTCAGGGGCAGGCAGCCAGCGAGGAGCGCTGGGCGAGGAGCCCAACACCTTAAACAGCAGCCTTGCTTACACCATTCACACTGAAGGTGCAAAATGCCTTGCAATACCCCTAAAAATTTAAGCCTTACTCCATGTGCCTAAAAATCATCTGTCATGTGAAAAAAAACTTGCGAGGAACTGATGATCACTGAAAGCGTTAAGTGGCAAACTTTCTGCCCTAACCACCTGCTGACATTTGTAGAGATTTCCATCGGGAGGAAATTCAGAAATGCACTTCAAAAAAAAAAAAAAAAAAAGAGAGAAGGAAATTCAGGATGGTCTTGATATTCTGTTATTCTCAAGAGCAGTGGGGACCTGCAGCTGCTAGTTTTTATGGCCCTCAAGGGCCAAATCTTGGTGCAAACGGTGGGACATAAACAAGACAGAAATTTTTTGCAACGTGGGAATAGTGCTCTGTATTCTGTGAAAGTTGCAAAAGCCTAACCATGAGGAGCGGAAAGAAAGGGGTTTATTCCAGTAATGGAAAGGAAAGGGAAGTACAGAGTGAAAAAGGTGAAATATTTTGCTATCTTGCCACAGCTAATGTAAAATGGCATAGGAATGGGAGCACCACTTTCTAGCATTGTGGAAATAGCATAATGAAATTTTCTTATCAACTGGAGGAAACATGACTGAATAGATTATGATCTCTGAAAGAAACGGATGTGTTTTACCTTAAATTATCAAGTCCCTATCAGAAAGAGACCTTTTTATGAAATAAACAGAATAACCAATACAAAGTGGCTAATTCAAGACAAAAGCCCCCTTCACTGTACTTGCTTAACCATTCTTGAGAAATTGACATTAAAAGACCCCATAAAGCTAAGCAGCCATGACATTATAGTCATTTGTACATGAAAATGAACTGCTTGGCTGAAAACAGCAGCACACACTTTGGGGACACGACTCCTTTTGGCACAGAAAATACTACCCTGCAGTAGTTACTCAGCTTCTATGTAGCAGAAGATGGACTTGATTGTGATGGGAATCCATATGACAGAAAATGACTGCCAGTACCGAAAGAGAAGAAGGTTTCATATTCTCAGTGTTAACTCTGCTACAGAGGGAATTTCTTTGGCACTTCCTTACTTCCCCAGTGCAGTGACGATGACATAGACACAAGTATTAAGGTTGTTTGGGGCTCATCAAAATGACGTATCTATAGAACCTTCCTCAAGCACATCATCCAGGACAACTCGATGAGGCAGTACAGGACACAAAGACAGGCTGCTGGCAGCATGATTAGCCTGATACCAATAGCGATTTCTCAGCCACAGGGGAATCTTACAGTGTCGAGAAACTGAACTTTGGCTACTGTTTCACTAGAGTAGCGCCAAGTACTCTAGAAGGCAAAGTAATCATTAAATGCTCATGTAGGGCCTAGAGGCATGTCATTCAAGTGGAATTTGTTCAAACTAATTGGCTTTAGACAGAAGTGGTGTCACTCATCCCATTGCCATGTTTCTCAGTCCTATTTAGAGCCTCACAGAAGAAAACAGAGATCAAGCAGTGAGAGGTACCAGGGAGATCATGTTTCAAGAGCTCTTGAGCAGGACAGTACTTTACACTGGCTGTTGGTTTCTGAGTCCCCAGTTCTGCTTCAAGACATGATAAAGGAAAATTTGAGATGGTGAGCAGAAAATAAAGTGTTTTCTTACCAAAGTTTCCCAAGCTGTTCTCTCTTGTATCTACTTGCACCTCTAGGGCCTTCACTTGCTGCAGATCATCTACCCCTGTCAAAATTTTCTGTAAAGATAAGCAGAGATATATGTGTACTCTCATGCAATAAACCAGATGACACAGAAGGAAAAACATGTAGAAAGGTTTTCAACCGGTGGTCTGTCAACATATGCTCCAGGTCAAAATGGTTAGATGTGCAATCGCATAGAAATAAATTCAGTATTCAAAGATCTTTCTTCCTCGTAGCTCCGAATTATTCTAGTCTCACATAACTTCTACATTGCTTAAAGAGTCAAGGCTGAGAGTCACGTTCAAGCTGCAAATCAACAACAGAGACCTACATGCCGATTAACTTCACTTTAACAGTATGTCCATGCTTTAAGATTTGCACGTCTTGTACTAGTCTTCAGCAGATAGGAAACATTACCGTTAAGTGTCACCTGTAATCAAAAAGGCAGTAGGCAGTAAAACTCAACAAACACACTGCCTAGCCTTTTAACCCAAACCTATGAAAAGGAAACATGATTTTAGCTCAAGAAGCTCCCTCTTCTGAAAGAAGACAACATTAATTACAAGAACTACAAATTCCTTTGAAAAGACCTAGGCAATTCAAACAGAAGCTTCCAAAATCTTTCATTATTTTTGCAAAATCTTAGTAATAGGATCAACCACTGCATTAAGCAAGGGTTTGTGTAGAATGCAGAATCTTTCCTGGGAAGGGTATCATGGGATCTTTCCTAAGATCCTAAAGTCTGTGTTGATACATACATGTAGATTTTGCCTTGGCAAAGGTAAACAGGAGGACAGAAACAAGTAGAAGCTATATGCAGAGGCGGGAGGTAAGCTCTAGGACAGCCAGTGAAAACTACAGTAAGGCCGTGAAGTCGTAAGACTCCAGGCTGCAACTCTACAGGCCGCTGAAGCAATCTTACGTTGCCACTGCTCTCATCCCCTGTTCCTTCCTGCTATGACCCAGCTCCTCTCTCCCCAGATTCCCTCATCCAGGCTATGTGTCTCACCACCTCCCACCACATCAGCTTTGGGTGCTTAGTGCACCATGTTTCCATGCATGAATTCCATTCATGCTTCCATTCATGCTTCCATGCATGAATTCAACAAAACAGACTCAGAGGGAAATGTATCCTTTCTTCCCGATGGGTTAGTGGTTCATGGAGGAGTCTGAAACACTCCTTGAGAGATGAGAAACAAGGCTTTTGCAGTACATTAACTGCCTGAAAGAGCTGATGCTATGCCTAAAGATACAACTGCTAAATTTTCACCTTTCTGTGTCAAAAGAGTTAGGATGTGGGGCTAAAAATGTCCAGTTCAAAGAAATGGCTGACCCTGGCATCAGTGTCTCCTCCTCAATGATGCAATCAACAGCATGGGCTGAAAGAAGTATTGTCACCTGCCTTTTACCCCTCTATTTAAGAGGAAGGCAGGAAGTCATTCCACAACCTCCATGTACAGGAGACAAGTTTTCTTACTATTAAAAAGTTACAACATTCTTTAGCTTGTTTAATAAGGGGGAAATTATTCATTAGAAGGGAATGTGTAGGATCACCTCTGTTTATGAGTTTTGGGAAGAAAAAATAACCACAAGAACATCCAGTTCATTTTGCAGGGAAAAAGGGACTGCAATTTCATTCACTCTGATCGTTCCATACCCTCTTACAAAGGACCAAACATAGTCTGAGTGTAACTCAGATGACTGTATAAAAGGGCATGGTTTCCTGAAAAGGCTGAACATCCCTCCTTGAAAAACTGGCTCCTTTTGTAAGGTCCTGACTTGGACTCCTAAGAAACAGAATTATCCAAAATCTTCAGCTGCTTTTGAATTGTCTTTAAAATATTGTGTTTAAAATTATTTTTAATCTTATTTTTTTAAACTGTGATTTTAATCAGGCTGAGCCTAAGAAAGCTTCCAGACTTTCTTCCCTTCCCTTCCTGCTAGAGTATGAGAAACAAAGGTCTAAGGTGAAAACTTGGGAGTGCCCAATGGCATCCAGAAATTTGCTTTCTATACCCAGATGCAACCACCACTAAAACAGTTTTGCTCCTGCAAAGCAGGCAATCTTACCAACTACAGACTTCTTCCTCCCCCCAAGTAAACACAAGTTCCCTCACTGCAAGACACATTCTGCAGTAATCCTTTTCAGCAGATTACACCGTCTGTCATATAGCACGAAAGTATGTAAGAAATGAGAGCTAGCTGACATTCTAGCACACAACCATGCACTCAGATTGTTGGACGTGGACACAAGCTTACTGTCATTGAAGGAAGCTTCTTCTGAAAAATATCTCCCCTCTCCCCATCAAAATAGTCTTAAGAGCCTATATCATTAGAAGACAGAATCGGAAGAGGTCTCAGAACAAGTAATAAGCTTAGGGTCATACACTTTGTCAGTAGAATAGCAGAAGGTCCTGGCACCACAAGGAGCCTCTGCCTTTCTCCTTTGCTGTCTGCAAGTTCCCTGCACACTGTCCTTCCCCCTGCTGTATTCTAGACAACTCCTTTTCACAGTTCTGCTGCTTGTTCTCTTTCAAAATCCAAGCATAAAAACTGCATAAAGTTATATTCTCTCCTCTTCTAGGATTCCCTATTAATTTTCCTCATACCAGGCATTATCAGTGTGCTTCTTTGCCCTCCTTTTCCTCTTCCAGATCCACCACTTGTACATTTTCCCCTGAGAGATGAGCTGCTCAGCACATCCATATTTTGTACTGCAACCAGCAGAGCTGTGGCTCCAGTGCTGGAAAGGGTTATTGGCTGCCATCACCAGCTCTTTGAACTATAGATAGCTGCCTTGAAGCATGTGGTAACCAGACATGACAGACTCCATGTGTTCTTGGTCCCCACTTCCCCATTCTGCTTTTCCAATAGTCTCTGAACATTGCTGTCCTTCCATCTGCTGATGCCAAGGAGACGCTTGGAGAGTTTGAAACCGATTGGCCATAGGATGCAAAAGCTATTGTACTACATGAAGGAAATGAGAAATGCTCTCAGGTTGAATATACGAGCTCATTTAAAGGCACTAGAAGGACAGAGACCCCAGGTGTTGACTGCAAGCTAGTTAGCAAGCAAAAGGCCAGGGCAGCAGTTCAAGAGAATGTTACATGGTGGATGGTTCCTGTGGATGAGAGTTAGGACACTCCTACTACCCAGACACCTTTCCTGGCATACTGGTGCACCTAGAAGTGTGATACGTCTTGTGGCACAGCTAAAATTCTGGCACCAGGACAGGGGAGATTTAGGGAAGGATGCAGAAACATTTAAAATAAAGATGACACATATTTAGCAGGATCTCCCTTTTATGTCATTGTTTAATTTCAAAGCATGGAAACCTTCACCGAAATTTGAAAGTAGGGATATTTAGGAAGAATTTTGCTGATACTGGGTAGCAAAAGAAAAAAAAAATTGTGGCCAAACACACTGAAGGGATCATCAGCTTGGATAGAGAGATGTCTAGCACCATGCGGGTAGAAGTGATGCTAAGGTGCTCTGTATGTCTTTGTTCCTAGGGCCATGCCAGGTCTAGGATAGGCTCCTGCCTTAGCGTCCCACTGTGGCTTCAGGTAATGACTGCCTGCCCACAGCTCAAAGGGTTGTTTTGGGAGCCAGGGACAGAAGGTCTCTGCCTATGGCCCAGGAACACTTACAGACATGAAGGTGCTGTGCCATCTAGGGATTTCTTTGGCTGCTTAGAGCTGCTCAGCATCAACGTAGGGCAGACAAAAAGGGACCAAGGATCTGTTCTAGCCAAAGAGTTGGATACACTCAGAGTTATTTTACATCAAAAAGATACCTTGAGAAAACTAACTATAATTCAGGCTGTTTATTGTTGTCCAGAGAGGATTCTGCTTGCCACCCATCTACTGCCCAGCGTGGTAGGTATCAGTCATATAGAGAAGGAGGTTGTTTTCTGAAGAATCAAACATCAAAATCTTTCTGGCACACGATGTTCAAAAAGGTAGCCTGACAGCTTGATTCTGGGCAGCAAGTGTTATACTCCACCCTAAATTTGTTTATTTGAAAGGATACATTTCCATGGTAAAGGACTGCAGAATTCTTTAAAGATGAATAAATAATAAGTAAGCAAAGACGGTGAAAGATTGCTTTATATTTTTGCACCTCCTTCAATATAGGAGAAAAATTATTTTCCATGAGATCATGCAGAAGCTATTGGTAAATAATTTAGCCAGTATTTTAAGAAGCAACTCCTCACAAACCATGGCTCACAAACCATTCCCATCATACAAAATGTCTGGCCAATATCTAACTGGAGACCGTGCACTAATTTGGAAAGATTTTCCTCTGACTGACAAGAAGGGCCAATATATATTCTGTAAAAAATTGCAAGTGAAAAATACTGCAGTGCTTTCAGAGCTTCCCAACTGGCATAACGGTCACCTGGGGATGCTGGGAAATCCAGTTCAAGTCCCACTTGCAGCTTTCTGTAAATTCCTTGATTGGCAAATAATATCTGTTCAATTAAAGCTGGTGTATACAACTGATTTCTTCTCTCTTCCCCAGATTTTTCACATACTCTAAGAAAAGTAGATATGCTGCTGAAGACCATGTTGCGTGCAGCTGTCAGAGAAGCATTTCCAGCTGTGCATTTTTTTTGCTGATCCTGGTTAATTTGGCTAAGACAGGAATTCCTGAGTGGTGAGCGTATTTTCTTTTAATACTACACCTGTATGCAAATACTAGATTCATGTCCATTCATGTGTTCATTGCTTTTTGCAGGGATTTTATTTCAAATTCCCATCTAAAGTGTAATCTCTCCCTGCATAAAAAAAATCAGTGTTGCTACGAGTATGACAAAATACTTCTAAGAAGAAAATTACTAGAATGTTAACAAGGTTTGTGTTGTTGAGTGCTGCAAGTGGGACTTGAACTGGATTTCCCAGCATCCCCAGGTGACCGTTATGCCAGTTGGGAAGCTCTGAAAGCACTGCAGTATTTTTCACTTGCAATTTTTTACAGAATATATATTGGCCCTTCTTGTCAGTCAGAGGAAAATCTTTCCAAATTAGTGCACGGTCTCCAGTAAGTCAAGGAT